ATGCTACGGGGCAGACGGTCTACAACTTCGTTTATGATGACCGAAATGGCATGTGCTTTATGGGCTCCTTAAAGTCCCCAAACGTAAAAGGAATGCCTGCGCGGCGAAACTTCGCAATGATAACTGCACTATATGAAGAATTTGTTAGGACATTTGAAAAAAGCAGTACGTTGTACTCAGAATAGTCGAGAAAGCAGCAATGTCTCAAACCATAATATAGCATAATATACGTGCTGAGACTAAAAGCGTACTCCGAAACCATAGAGCGGTTGTCATTGTGTTAACACAATTGCATTCTTTACGAGAGCCAACTCTGTACTCAAACTTCTGTAAGATAGTCACTTACCAACAGTGCACACCGGACTAGAATAGGATTATCGGTTACGTTAGCTTACATAAAATCCGGAAAATAGAACGTATTATTACCTTGCGGTTGCTACGCACCGTAACGCCAAAAGACACTAGTATGAGGCAACAGTATACCTATTTTGGCCATTCGTGATCATCACGGGGACTATTCGATGTAAATCACGGTAAACCATGACATTGTCGCGGGTTTCATTAGAAATGTCTCACGTGCGAAACATTAATTCGGCTGGCTCTGATAATGCCTTACCACGTGCAAAAATAAACCTCGGAACAGGGAAAGTGCTGGTCAGAATATGCCAGTAAAATATAGGCACGTGGGCAGCCGACGTAAGCGAACATTTTTTTCAGTACAGTGATATCCCTGTGTGGGCACCATGTTGGCATTCTGTTTAAATTTTCTCATACACTGAATTGTATTTGGATGGAAGCTCTTATTTCCCTTCGGTGTTACGCTAGCGTTAAAAATTTTGTTTCAAGTTAGGAAAAAATGGGCCAAGGAATGAAGGTCATTTATAGTTAAATTCTCACTAGAAGCTGCCGGATCAACCAAATAATAGGTGACTACTGTCGCTTCAACTAACACGCATGAAGAAAATGGCCATCTGACGAAGATAGCTGTAAAGAAAAATAATCAAACACCTACACTCCTGTCCACAATTACTACACACTTTAACTGTAATTACGCGACTTCAACAATATGTTAAAACAATAGTTACTTGAAGAGCGATTGGCGAGCAATCGGCGCTACATCGTACTCGGACGGTTATTACCACTGAAACCTTGAGATGATATGCTAAGAACCAGCTGGAAAACACTCGCGTAATAATTGGAGAGCTAGCTCGCCAACTGCTTTTCGGGTTTCTGTAATGGGAATTTTCGCAACTTTAAATTGTTATTTAGTCAAAGAGTTGATAAGCAATTCAAGAATTACTAATAATACGTTTGCTTTAGGGAAAATCCGCAAACCTTAACAGTTCAAACTGTTTGCTGACAAGGTTTGCAGAAAACTATGAAGATCAAGAACTAACCCCTTCCATACATGTGCATGCACAAGGAGTGCATCCAGGAAAGAATATGCTTGTGTCAAAACCAATATCTAACTGGCTACTTATAGGTTGAATGCTTACTGAAAGTTGGCGGATGAAATGAGAAGGACATTATAAGAAGCCTCCTATCGAAATTGTTAGGGCCGCCCCTTATTCGCCAGTTTACCTGTTCCACGACTTCAAAAGAAAAACGCCCTTCCTTACAAGCCCGCTATCTGCGGTTTTCAGCGGTAGGTTTAAATTATTGTCATAACGTCCAGAGGCCGTCTGACAACATCCTGGATTAAGGAATGTTAATGAAAGCACCCTTCGGGAAATTGTTATTAATTGGTTCCACGGCTCTCGCAAACGCTACGAAACAATCATGTGGGGGCTTGGAGGGTTGAGGGAAATTGGACTAAAAAGGATTGGAGTAAGGCATCACTCTGCGCAAACTTTTCGCAAGGTGGGGGTTAACGGGTTGAGGAACGCTCTTTCGCGGCCACGGATGGCAAATGAAACTTGGCCTGGGAATGCC